CAGGCCGGAGGATCATTATAGTTTATCCAAAACAATGGATATTAAAGCAGATAAGCAGATGGACGCATATTCATGCATATCAACGGACATGAATGGATAGTAATGCATATGAATGTGTTGCTTGAGCAATTTCAAAGGCAGTTTCGGGGTGATGATGGGAATTCTCAACAGGTATTGGACAGGGCTCAATTTGAACATACCTCTCGAGCATACCCCAAAGGGCGAAAACCACCTCTAAATGAAAACAACTCTCATAAACTCCCTTCACAAAGAATGCGGTATGCCCCAGGGGTTTGTTGGATTTATCTAAGATTCAATGACCAAAAATAAATATATATGGATATTGAAGCAAGAACTTTGAGGATTAATCTTGTAAATCCAAGAATCAACCATCCCAATGTTTGTTTCATTCTTGGGTATACATTATACATCATTATACGATAGTTTACGAGAGCTACTGTAGCTCTTGTGCTTGGTCTATTCTTGGGTTCATCGGTGATCCCCCATTTTTGAATGGATTTGGTCCCAAATCAAAATTCCCTAAACCATGGTTTCCAGGGTGTGTAAAAACAATCTGGGGGCAGGGATCAATCAAATTCAATCAAATCATCTGCAATTTTTCTGGCTTTTCCCATTACGATGGAGTGATGGGCTGAGTTTCTCCCTATTTGGTGGATCATCCCAGTTAGTAGGTTATAACATGTTAGTTCACCCCAAATACAAGTGGATTAACCCCACTTATCCCACTTAAAAACCCCACTTCGCCATGTTTTTTCCGCCTTTTTCCCAGGTGGCTTCGCGACGGAGGTCGTGGTCGTTCCATCCTTCTGGTGGACGGACCTGGTGTGCAGCATCGGAAGATCTGGCCAAGGCCAGGTTGACCATCGTGCTTCCTATTGTCTGTTTTCTTGGGTATAGAAAATTATGCATCACAGTATTTTTGTATATATATATATTTAGCCATTGTATTCCATTGTATTTTCCTATAACATGGATAGACATGTATATGTATACAATATGAGGTAATACAATATGAAATGATATACAGCACAAAGCGGTGGCGGAAGTTTCAAAGATCGGAAACCTATAGGCGAGGTAAGTTGTTGTGATGCCCAGAGGGAACCGATGGACTGAAATTGTTGAGGCTCTGCTGCATCGCTCTCTATCTCTCTGTCTATCTATCTATCTGTCTATCTATCTAACTGACTAACTGACTGACTAACTAACTGACTGATTGACTAACTGACTAACTGACTGACTAACTAAACGATGAAATTCTGCGAGACTTCCTCAATTTTTTGAAATTAACCACATCAAGAATGAAGCAATTCTGCGAGACTTCCTTCGAACATGTGCAGAACTGACGGCCTCATGCCAATGCGTTTCGCGATTTTTCCACTCCATGTGCCTTAAGCACTGTGCCTGCCACGAAAAAGTGACGCGAAGTCATACGAAGTGCTGGAGATCTGATGCTCCAAAATGCACCCCGTCTCAGGAAATCAGCGGCGCCCTGACTTCCTAACATGTCTGACTCATGTGTCTCTTGCAATCACTACGCATGCCATGCGACATGCGTCTTTGCAGATCTTCTTCTAAATGTCCCACGCCTGCCATCGCTCTTGAAACTGCTGCAAAATCCACACAAGGTGCAGAATCCATTGCGGCATTGCGCCTGCCACACGCAACGACGCTTGAGCGTCCAAAAGTGGTCCGAACATGTGGTGTTTTAAGATTTTTAACCATGTTGACTTGGAAACGTGCTTCGCGCCACAACAGCGTGCACCTTTTAAACATCTCAACTTCCAAACGTGCTCCGAGAATGGTGTGCTTTGACGTGTTTATTTTGACTTGAAAATTTGCTTGGCGCCACAATGGCGACATCTCAACTTGCAAAAGTGCTCCGAGGCTAAAGCATTTTCACATTTTGACTTGGAAATGCGCGTCGTGCCACAACGGCGTACATTTTTTGAACATCTCAACTTCCAAAAATGGTTTGAGACCACGGTGTTTTGAGCATTTTGACTTCAAAATCGGCAGCGTGCAATTTTCATCTCGTATCTGCACAGATGGCTCCGCACCCGCCGCTTTGGCGAGCCCACTTTTCGACCCGCCGGAGCCACAAAACATTGGAAAAAAACTCGCTTCGCGACTTTTCCACATTTTCGCGCATTTTGATCTACTTTCAACTGACTCTTTCTCTCTTGACTCCTTCTCTTCTCCGACTCCTCTCACCACTGTTGCTGCGCTTGCCCACAAGTCGGAAGTTTGATTTCTAACCTCCTTTGATTATGTTGTATATTGGCCCAACAGTATTTATATTGTTGCTAATTGGGACGATGATCACAATAGCCGAGGGGTTGAACCCAGCAAACTGTGGTATCGTTGGCCCATGTTTTCTTGGAACAATAAAAAAGAACCTGGGGAAAAAAAAACTGGGTTGTCTGAAAACCATTAGAATTCCCCACTTCTCGCAGGTCGAAGAAGATAATTTTGCACCAAACGGATTCAAATGGCAGAATCTGGTATGGTTTACCCTCTGGTGATTTGAAATAGCTGTGGAAAGTCGCCATAAATCAGGCAAAACATCCAACTATTGTTGGGTCATTGCTTCCATATGCTTCCATAGCAATGTTAGATTACCAGACGGTAGCCAAATTTAGGGATCATCCTAATCCGATCCCCCTAATGCTAAACACCCCCTCAGAAACCATGGTTTAGTAAAGTAGGACATTTACACATATGGAAGTCGATCAAAAGGTCCATGTAGAGATATGTAGAGATTGTTAATTTTAACGGCCGCCAGTGTTACAACATGTTAGACCCTGCGATTTGTTTTTCTGAGTTCGCGAAAGTAAATAGATTAAATAGGATGGGGGATGGGATGATATCGTCATCAGCTGGTCATCAGCAGAGTCATTTCTCACCTGTTGAAGACCTGCTGCACCGGTCACCCAGGCCGTTGCTGAAGGGCGTATGATCACTGTGGAAGAGTCTACGCTGCGGAAGGACGCCTTGTTTTTTTGCGCGTGAAATGAGTGGCGTCACCCCCTAAATGGGTGTTTTTTTTTTAAACACATCCGCTCATCATATTAAACAACCTCCCAAAAAAAGGCACCCAATATGAATAGATCCAGATCCAACACAAAAGCATGGTTTGGATTGGGGGTGTTCAAAATTGAGGGAAAACGATGATTTTGAATATCTGACAATATAGCAAACCCCACAAAGATGCCGGAAAGTACATCCAGGATGGTAGTTTTCTCGTTTCCACCAAAGTCCTGACAGGCGGCGGGAGGATTTTTTTTGGCGGCAAACTCAGGGCAGAATGGTGCATTGAGCTGAAAGTCGTTTTGGAACACTTGGAACAGCGCTGATGAAAGCTGAGGTGTTGTTCCTGTGGCAAGCCCTTTTGGTGCTCTCCACAGGTGTTGGGGACTTGGTCAGAGGGATTCCAAGAATGCTGGGGATGGTTCAATGGTTTCAATTTCTTCATGACCAATATACCCTCTGGATCCCTTTGGTAATTTCACGTAGCTACGAAATCCATGGCTATTTCGCATGCCCAGCAACAGTTCGATGATTTACCGCTCTAAAAGAAAAAAATGTTCCAAAGCTAAGTTGAATTACTGGGATCTGGTTCATAGTTCCATACTGTTCCATATATCATAGAATTGGTGTAAGGGAAATTAACAGGAAAACCCTATATTTGGTGGGAAAAACCATGGTTTCCTGTAGATTTTCCCTTAGACCAATCCATTGAATAAATCCATTGAATATAGCAACGAATGATGGGATGAGGGTGCCGATGAGCATCCGGAGGGATGGGTCAATTTTGGCCAGAAGGATCTGTCCTTGGGTCTTTTGGTTAACCAATGGATTCTGGTGGATTTGTTTAATTTGTTTCATGAGGTACACTCCTCAAATCTTGTTCTTCCATGTTCTGTCATTTTTTTCAGTTGGTGAAGCATCTACATTCCAGATATGCCAGGTGATGTTTTGCTCCACCATACATCGTGAGGCAAAACTTGGGGTCAAGGTGACAAAAAGACGTTCCCACCCCTCCGACATTCACGGGGATTCAGATTCTAAATAGATGTTGAAGAAGGGCCCCATAGGGCCCCTATGAGTGGTTGAATTGGTTGTTGCTGGTTGAATCATTGTTGAATCCCCATGAACTGAGTGATTGAAGCAGTTGGGATATCGAAGCCCTGGAAGCCCCCATGAACTGAGGCTGCAACCCTAGACATTGAGGGCTCCAGCTATGCCACGTGGGCTGGGGATTGGAATTGACCTCTCGTCGTCACTGGAATGATGATGGTTAGGATTCGGGGCATCATCCCAATGGCCACAAACTATTTTCAGGTCAGTGAATTTCTGATAATTTAGCCAGAGTGTCAACAAAAATATAAAAAAAAATCAGATCTATGATGATCTATGGTTGAATACTGAAATGCCCAATCAGTCGTGGGTCCATTGGTGTTGCTGAAAAACCACAGATCCCAAGGACACCGAAGCCCAGATCTGGGATATCTATGGATATCTGGGCTTCGATGGCTTCGGAATCCTCCTGGCTGATTAGGATGTTGCTGCATTTTGGTCCATAGTAATTAATGTTAACCCCGGACGAATAAACCCCAAACGGCTGTTTGATTGGGGAGGTACCATTTGAGTATTAGATTACCACTATTTGGGGAGTACCCCCCTAATTATTGAGCCAGGGTTTATTAATCCAGGGTTGACATTATCCAAAAAAAATCGCCTCAGATGCATCAACGCCCAGTCTTGTTGGGACGTGTTGGGACGATCTTCTACTCATATGTGTGCTACAAGGGATGACAAGCCAGCTACTGGTGATTTACTGAGAACAGCAACATGCTGTGACAAACATTGAGTGAATTCATATGAAGGGTTGGAGGGTGGGAGTTGATAACTTCGTTAAGTCTGGCCCAAAATAGAGGCCAGATGTGACTTTTGTTTTGCACGTGGACTCGCGTGCGGCCATGGCTCTCTTACCCGCTGAAGGCGATGTGAGGGCTGTGGATGACTTGGCTGGAGTGGTCCGACTTTTACGACTACCTGGCACGTTGTGGGACGCTTTCACCGAGCAGGTTGGCAACCCGGGTGGTGACATCAGAGTGCTCGCCGCACTTCCTGCACATGTTGTAGTACATGGCATTGGCCAGGCGCAGTTAGCAGGGCAAGGGTTGTCAGCAGTGGAGGCCGCACATGTGGGGCTGGTGTGGCGAGTTGCAAGATTCCATGTGTTTCTCAGCAAGGGTGGCGCAGCTGAGAACTATGTGGACGTGGACCCATGGGAGCCGGACAAGAAATCCCCTGGACAAGGTGCAGTAACATCTCAGGTCACTAAGGGCTCCGGACTGAAGGAGAAAGTGCTGAAGATGGCGAACTTGGTGGACCAGACGGACGATTCAGAATTGATGCCCCCGGACGTCCAGACGGTGCACATGTGGAGTCAAAGATACCTCCAGTTGATGGGGGACATGCCGAATGAGGAAGAGGAACCTACCGATGCGCAAATGGCAGCTCTGGACAAGAGGGTCAACCAAATGGGCCAAGCTCCATACGTGGACATGGGAGTGTGGCTGCCTTTTGGGAGGAGGGCCCTGAAGAATCAGAAGCTACGTTCCTTTTTCCCGGTGGGAGATGGGACATACGTGGCAAGAGATTTTCCGGGGCCTCAGAACTTTCTTCAATGGCAAGCTTCGTGGAAGGTTTTTCGAGTGGCTGCAATCAGTTTGGATATATGCTCACTAGCATCACTCATGACCTATGAGAAGGTGATCGAACGCTTGACAGTGCAGTGGCCGAAGAATTGGAGCCTGATCGCACATGCAGACGACAAGGCAAGAGCCGAACGTTTGGAGCGGGTGAGACGCACTTTGGTGATGGACATGAACGATGGGAAGCCAGTGCCATCAGATTTCAAGGTGGACAAGCCCTGGTCAGTGTGCTTTAGGCTTCTTGCCCAAGATGAAGGTTTTTGGAGTGAACAGGTGCGACACCCAGCAACGTCGTGGTTGGCAGCAGGTGGACGTGGAGTTCCGATGGCATCAGCAGAGGCTCTGGCTTCAGCTCATTTTCCCGGACTTTCTGAAGGGCATGAATTGGATGCGACTGGATCCAATGACAAAGATGATCGACGTAGACAGGCAAACAGGGACAAGAGGTTGGCAAAGAGAAAACGCATGCAAGCGGACAGAGAAGAGCTATCGACCAGTGGCAAAGGCTCGAATTCAGGGGCCAAAGGGAAAAGCAAAGGAGCTGGTCGAGATCAGTCTGGGGAGGAGATATGCTTCTCCTGGGCGAAGGACAGTGGACCTTGCGCCGGACTGAGCCCGGGTAGCGACTGCAAGTCGAAGGTGAAGAGGATTCACAAATGTATGTTGTGTTTTTCACCGGGGCACACCAATGCGAATTGCCCCAAGAAATGAAGTTTCATTTTGGCTGAGAAAACTGGGTTTTGCCGTTACCTGCAGGGTGATGGAGTTGGAAGCCCTGTGGAACGTTTTCTCGGGGGGGGGGCAGAGATTGGGTGAGGTGTGCTTGAAGGGTTATACATGTCAGTTGAGTGCAAGGTTTTTGAATTGGCGCTTGATTGAATTTGTGTTGTGTGTTTATTTTGGTTTAAGATGGCTAGTGAAATCCCAGCCTCGTCAAAGCCTGAAGGGGCGCTTCATGGCGTCGATGCGGTGGTGCCCAAGCGCATTGCAGAGTGCTTGGAAGAGGCCAAGGACTTCGGGCAGTACAAGTTGGCTCGAAAATTCAAGTTCTTGCACATGTTCTCAGGGCCTGTGGACGTTTTGGCACAGGCACTGAAAGCGGAATGTGACAAGGAGGGCATCACGTGCATAGTGGAGTCGTATGACAAGTTGGTGGATGACAGTCATGACATGATGTTGGATCAACCTTTTGAAACCATCCTGCACAAGGCCAAGAACCAGGAGTACGACGGAGGACATGCAGGTTTTCCTTGTGGCAGCTTTTCAAGGGCAAGACTCAATGCTAAGGGCGAGGGACCCGGGCCTGTACGTTCGGGAAGTGAGATTTATGGCCTGGCGACCAATAACCGTCGTCAACAAGCTGAAGCAGATAGGGGCACTGTGCTGGCGGTGAGATCGGCGCTGGTCATAGCGGAGATCATCACAGATCAGCGCAAGAGGGCGGTGCCTACGGTGGGAACCTTGGAAAACCCGCCAGGGTCAGAGACAAAGGAAGAGGGACCAGCATGGGAGTTGCCTGAATTGCAGGAGTTCATCAACAAGCTCAAGGCGACCACGGCCCTTTACAACACGTGTGCTTACCAGGACAAGGAGAAGGAGCGCTGGTTCAAGCCAGGCAGATTCACCGGATGCTTGGCAGATCTGGACACAATGTCAAAGAAGTGTTCGTGTCCAAGTTGGGTCAAACACCAGGCATTGATTGGGAAAGGCCTCACAGCAAAGGCAGCCGAGTATCCAAGCGGCTTGGTGAAGGCTTATGCGGTGTTGGTTGCAAGAGCTTTCAAGACCACGCTGCAGATGGAATGGTGGAGGCATCAATTGAAGGTCAAAAAGGAGGAGGTGACGACGGCACAGAAGAAGTGGATCGAGAGCAAGATGAAGAAGCAGTTGCCGCCGGCATCGCTTGGAGATTTATCGTCATCAAAGAGAGCTTGGATGGCGGAGAATGTGGATGAGAACACGGGTCCAACAGAAGGCCCGTCGAAACGGAGGAGAAAAGAAGGGGAAAACGCTCACTTCATAGGTGGGATGCGCAATCCAGCCAAGGCGGTGGCAAGGCTGCACAAAGTATGTGAAGCTGGACGAGACGTCAGGCGCCTGTGGTCTCGATTTGCGAAGGACCACCCAAAGGCCTTGGAGACGGCGAACAACTACGGCAGTGAGAACTGTGAGTTGGATGACGAAACCTTGAAGGCATGGACACGAGAGATCGAGCACTTTCTGAAGGCCAAGGAATTTGACGATGTGGTGCTCAGAGGATCAGACAGGTTCAGATCCCCGCTCAACGCGAAGCTTTGGGAAGGATGGCGCAAGTGCTCAGGAGACCCAGAAAGAGATCTGGTGCAATGGATCAGATCAGGAGCTCCTTTGGGCATGGCTGAGGAGATACCATACTGTGGCATTTTCCCAATGACAGATGAAGAGCTGCCGGATGTGGAGGAAATGCCAGACATCGAAGCTCAGTTGGGAGTGGAAAACTACAAGAGCTTCAAGGAGGAGCCAGAGCACGCCTTGCACGAAATTGAGCGCTACCTCAAGAAGGGCTTTTGCGTGGAAATGGACGAGAACGAGTTGAAGCAGCAGTTCACGACAGGGACCATTTCCAAGCTGGCGCTCATCATCAAAGAAAAAGAGGATGGATCAATCAAAAGGAGAGTCATCATTGACTTGCTGCGGAGTGGAGGCAACAGCAGGTGCAAAATTAGGGAGAGAATAGTTTTGCCGAGGGTGCAGGACGTGGTGGACAGCCTGAAGTACCTTCGAGAACAAAGATTCGGGCTCATGCTGAAGGCGCAAAGAGAGGAGTGGCCGGATCAGGAGCAATGCCAGGACATCGAGCTGGTGTCGGCCGACTTGGCGGACGCATACTGTCATTTGGCGGTGGCAGAAAAGGAGTTGGGCAATTGTGCAACACCCAGCATGTCACCTGGCAAGTATCTCGTGTTCACGGCCATGCTTTTTGGTTTTCGAGGGGCACCTTTGATCATGGGCAGGTTTGCGGCGACTTTGGCACGAATGCTACAGGCGCTGATTCCAGCCGACGAGATGCAGTCGCAGCTTTACATGGATGACCCCTTGTGGATGTTGCAGGGACCGAAGTGGAGAAGGCAAGAAAACCTGGCACTGGTGCTATACATGTGCGGAGCACTGGGGGTGAACCTGCAGTTCAAGAAAGGTTTCAGAGGGACTGACGCGGTATGGATTGGAACGAGAATGGAACTTAACCTGGCTGAAGAAGTTCTGATCCTGTCCATCCCGATCAAGATGATGAACGAGATCAAGAAGGTGCTGACCAGCTGGGAGAACAAGGGCATGGTGCCATTGCGAGAGGTGCGAGCGGTCACAGGTCGCTTGAGTTGGGTGTGTGGCATCATCACAAGGGCTCGATGGTGTGTGAACATCCTCTATGCGGTGATAGCGCAGACCATGCACGATGTGAAGGCAGAGGTCGAAAGGGCAACAAAAAGGGATGACACCAGGCCAAAGCCACACATGGTGGCAGTTCACAGGATGGAGTTGCCGAGGCAGTGGTTTTTGGCGATGTTCGACAAGCCGGACAAGTTTGCCCTGAGACGTGAACCACTTCATGAAGTACATCCCAGCTTCGCCCTCATCACCGATGCATCACCTCAAGGGGTGGGGGCAATTCTGGCAGACATTGACAAGAAGAACAAGCTGCTGGTGCCACTGGAAGCCCTGGAGATACCCGTCACGGAGGACATCGCACGATGGATGGGCATAGAGTGGAAAGCAGCTTCGGGGCAAGGGCCGCTAGAGGCGTGGGCGGTGCTGATGGCGCTGAGAAAGTGGAAGCACAGGATCAGAGGGTGCTCCATTCTGATTCGGTCAGACAGCGTGGTAGCCTTGGCCACGATCAAGAAGAGCGCAGCCCCGTCGCCGGTCCTCAATTGGATAGGCGCAGAGTTGGCATTGCGGTCAGAAGAGCTGCAATTGGGACGCCTGATAGGGCAACACATCCCGGGATCTTGGAATCAAGAATCGGATTGGCTGAGCCGACCACATGAGCGTGGCAAAATGCCTGCTCGGTTGGAAGGCGTGCCACTTAGGCAGTTCCCAAAATCCAGTGTCATGACATCGGCACTGGCCCCTCCGGGAGCGAGTCAGGCGCTTCGATGGGGCCAGACATCGAAAGTGGTGTCGACAGCCTTTGATGAGCTGTGAGCCAAAGCTGGATGAAAATTGGAAGACGCGGTCTTTCACAGCTTTGGTTGGAACAGTGGGAGGCAGGTTAGGTTACAACTGTTTGGTTGACTTGTGTTGATTTTGGAAAACTGGTATTTATAATTTTCTTTTTGCAGCCTCATGTCACGGTGCTCAAGACATCATGGAGGTGCAAGCGGCGCGATTCGAAGTATCTGCAGACGACAGCTGGTCGTTTGCGGAGTGGTTTGTTTTGGTGGGATGGCTATTCGCGCTGCTCACCTTTTGCACCTGCCTCTCGGTCAGCTGCTGTTACCTCGGAACATGGATTTCCCCGCGGAAGTCCAAAAGAGAGAGGATGATGGCGGGGACAACAGAAAGAAGGGAGTGCTCTACACAAACCATCTTGTGCACGCCTCCAAGTACAATTGGGAAGGACCCACATCAGCGTCCCAACAACAGGGGGACCTCACCGCCTTCGTCAAGAGGACAAGAAACGGTGTACTCCACGTACAAGATGAAGGGCAAGGAGGCAATCTTACAAGATATGGTGGTAAGAGCGCTTCCTGTGGTCTGCAACTTAGATCAGAGGCGCAGAGCCGCAAGTTTGAGAGAGATCAGCTGAACATTGTGGGTTCATGCAGAGGAACAGGAATAAGAACCTTCATGCACAAGGTGAAGAAGGTCCATCTCAAAACCTGCAAGAAAACGACGGTCAGCAAAACAGGCCGAAGTTTGGACACCAGTGGGAAATTGGAGGAGATGAAGAACACAGGAGGATGCATGAGGGCGGCTTTCCAGGTTGCTTCATCTGCAGCGAGCTTGTGGAAAGCGACAAACGAGCTGAAGGGCAACTTTTGGGCGGCCTCTTCAAGATCGTCCAGAGAAATAAAGCGGAATGAAGTCCTGAAGTTGGCAACAATGGTGGCAGGAGAAACAAGGGAACCCTTGCCATTGTCGCAGGAGATAGTGGAGGGCGTTGCAGCCTGCTTGAGATGCTCGGGCATGAAATCAGGTGACCAATATCTCAATGAACTCAAACTCTTGCACATAGAAGAAGGGTACGACATGCCCCCATGGCTGACCAGAGCCTTCAACTTATGCAAAAAGGCGCTGGGAAGAAACAAGGGACCAACGAAGAAGGCAGTAGAGGCCAAGGTAGAAGACATCGGAGAGGACTTTTGGGGCCAAAGTGGAGCCAACTTTGTGGGAGGCATCAATCCGGCTGTCTGTTACGCATGGGCGTGTGTGTGGATGCTGAGGGAGATAGAGGCGAGTGCTTGCAAGTGGGAACATGTACAAGCTGAAGAACAAGCAAGACACGTCACACTGTCTATACCAGTGTCAAAAATGGATCAATCAGCGATGGGAGTTCGAAGAACCTTGCAGTGTTGCGGCGAGGAGGTTTGCTCGAGATTTTGTGCCTGGAACTTGTGGACGAGGATGAAGAACGAAAGCCCAAACAAGTTCAAGAAGAAGGGCTTCATGTTTGTCAATGAGAAGGTGGCGAAACTGAGCAAAACCAAGATGATTGAAGTGTGGAATTCAGCCACAAGTTGCAGGGTATCAGGACACTCCGCACGCAGAAGTGGAGCAATGGAACACGTGAGGCGGGGCTTACAAATCCAGGAGCTGGCGTTCTTGGGGAGATGGCGGTCGGCAGTGGTGCTTACATATGCAAATGATGCACTACAGGAAGTACCAGCCAACAAAGTTTTCATGGGAGACAAAACCGTGATGAGCTGGGAGCAAAGAAAAGCACCGTGGACCCCGTTGCCAAGTGCTCAGACTCCAATGATGCGCGCCCCGATGACGCCAGCAGCAGAACTGTCACATGCACCTCCTGAAGTAGAAGTCATGCAAGGGTTGGAAGAGAAAGGAATGAGGAAACAAAACCTTTGGGTGGCGTCCAACGAAGTCAGGAAGGGCAAGAAGACGTGGCACAGAGTAACCAGAGCAGGGTGGCAAGTTCCCATGGCAGAATGGGGAACAGCTTGTGGATGGAATTTCACACGAAATCCCGATAGGGTGTCGATGGCAGTGAATCTGATGTTCAATCAGAACAGATGCAGAAAATGCTCGGACGTCATGAAGATCCGCGACAAGGTCAAAGAAGGGCACAATTTGGCTGACTTCATGCAGGTGGAGTCAGCTTCAATGTTTGACAAATGACTGATGGGTCAATGATCCAGCAGCTGACTTTGCTGCTTCGACACCAAGCAAAACAAGCCGCCACTGCGTTTGGAGGGAGGGTGGGAATGATCTCACCAAAATGAACGTATGTTTACTAGTTTATATGATGTTATATGGAACATGATTTATGGAACACGTTTTTTTTAAAGACGAGTAAATCATCATTTTTAGGATTTTGTTTGGAAGCCATGGCCATGGCTTCCAGTCCTCCAGTTTTTCATCGCTGGGCTTTCACCGAAAGGTTGGCCCTGTTGGCCTCAAACTCTCTAGGGTCGGAACACTTAGCCGAGGTGGTCGGAATGGGCTGGGCTAAGATGTACCAGATGGAATGTGTAAGCGGGGCAGACAACGGCATTCTTGCAAAAACAAAAAAAGGGGCCACAAATATCCAGAAATAGTTCGGGTAGTTCCTACCATAAAATGTACACAATTCCTAGCTGGTTGATGAAAATGGTACCGGATACCCTCCATTGAAGAACCAATGAGTATCCTCTGGTAAACTGTTACATAACTATGGAAAATCATCATTTTTTATGGATAAATCCACTACTTCTATGGCCATTTTCAATAGCTTTTTGTATGTTTACCGGAGGGTACATCATAAGAAATGGTACCAACCCGGTAGTTTGATCCCGACATATCCCAAAACATTTTTGGGGATGGGGACAGTTAAATATGCGGACAGTACCACCGTAGCAAACTACATTCAGATCAGATTTTCTAAGTAAACATAGTAAACAACACAACTGGAGTTTTAATATGTTTTAATTATCCCTTTTCCACCCAGATGACAAACAGAAAATATCGGGATTTCAGAATTCGAAAGCCCAACTCGTGAAAAAGGCCAGGAGCTCTGTGGCCAATGGTTGACACAACTTGATGGTGACTTCCCGCAAACAAATTATCATGTCATGTTAGATATGTTAGTATATAAGCATATATAAGCTGTATGAAAATCGCATTTTGGGCCAGTGAATCATCAATCGACCAATCGACATTTGGCAATCATAACCTATGAAATACCGCATTTTGATAGTTATTTTGTGGTTCACCAAGGGATTCTGTGGGTCTTGCCCCATGGCCAGCCCATGGCCCATAGCATCCTCTGGCATTTGTCTTCCAAAGATCTTTTAAGATAACAGGCGAGGTGCACCATCACCCATTTTGCACTATTGGAACCCACATGAATCCTGCGTAGTTTGCGTAAACCTTGTTTTTGGCCTGTGAATGGATCAGTTTCCTTAGTTGTGAATTATATATATATATACATACAAACATTCTGAAAACTGTTGCTGTGTGGCTTCATGTTTGGTTCTGTTGTACAAACGATCCATTCTATTCTTACTCTCATGCACCATCAGTTTTCCATTCTTGGTACTATGGATCCATCCACATATTATATTTCATGTTTGGTGTGAAACCATCCCGTTTATCAACACACATATAAATTATATATATATATCAAAATTTCCTGTTTTCTGGCATCAAACTTTCAATTTTCGACATTTGTTGTAGCCAATCATCCATTTTTGTGTTTCGGTACTATCAGGGTATCACGAACAAGTCCCATTCTATTTGTTTGGTTCCAAAGCAGGATCTGTTTCAAAAGTAGACATCATCATTCTTCAATCATTGTTCCATACGTTAGACATGTCTGGAAACACAATTCACACACACACACATTCACACACACACACACATATATATATATATACTATATCATGCAGACAACATTCATAGTGTTAAAGACTCTGAATCTTTTCCATAACAAACTCCTATAGACTGTGCATCAAAGATACGCGATGAAAAGACAGGCGGCAACGTTCACAGCGCCCAGGTTTGCAGGTAGTGGCTTTCTAAATCTCTGAGGTTGTGCCGTTTGGGGTCCCGGGGTGAGTCCATAGGATAACGGCTTCGGAACGGGAGGAAAGGATATGGAGATACCCTCTGGTAATTTAACGTAGCTATTGAAAATGGCCATTTATAGTGAGTTTTCCCATTAAAAATGGCGATTTTCCATAGCTATGTTAGTTTACCAGAGGGTATTTTCCATTATACATATCTGTCATTATATGATACGTACATAAATGTACCATGTAAAGTCCATAAGTATGATGTTATGATATGTTATGATTATGATATAGTCCTGCAAGACGACATTAATATGCGCAAATGTGTTTTCTATGTAATGTTTGTGATCGATCTTCTAGTAATTTCTAGTACATACTGATATATCTGGCACCTTGTGTTGACCCCGACTTTAGATCTCTTGCCACTTGGGTCCTGCAGAAAAGATTGCAAGATGACACCAGTGGGAAGGTTGCTGAATATGTCCAACTTGACATTTCTGAAGGAACTATGCATGGTGAAGATGTTGTGAAGCTGCTAAGCTTGACTTGCGAGCACGCCAGCCTTCTTGATGTGCTGTTTGAAGGTTGTGAATCAAACAACTATCACCAGTGTGTGTGTGTGTGGGTTGCCAAAATTAGTGTTTCCAAAAATGGGGTTCCCCCAAATCATCCAAAAAATCTACCATAGTTCTGGCATTGAAACCCTTTGGTTTTGCAGATCCTCCATTTTAGGAAACCTCCATTTTATGGTTGTTCAAATACAGGTTTCTCACGTCACCGGCCGACCTGAAAAATCATGGTTAGTGTTTTTTGTTTTCACATCTCAAGATCTTTTGCATTTCAGGATTTTTTTTCTGATTTTTTCTGGTGACTATCTGGTGGATCTTTCAGGCTTTCAGGATATCTTTCAGGGATGATCAAATTTTCATGGGAAATGTGGCGGTGACTGGAAATGTGACTGGAACCATGGAATTTTACGACCTTCCATAATATGTGGGATAATCCAGTATTATGGGTTCATAGATTACTGATTGGTGGTTTGGTGGTGACTGGAATGGTTTGGAACCATGGACTTTTATATATATATATATATGACTTTCCCATCATATTGGGAATGTCATCATCCCAATTGACTCATATTTTTCAGAGGGGTAGGTATACCACCAACCAGCCAGTAATATCATGATTAACCATCATAATAACCATGATAATAACCATGTTATTAACATGTATCAACCATATATTAACAGTATATTAACCAGCTATTGAAAGTCCCCATGGTTGGAAGGTCCTCGGGTCCCCAGTCGTCTTTCTCAGTGAATCGCGGCGAATCGCGGGATCGTCTTACACCGAGGCAGCGCTGAAATGGAACCTGAACGCCCCTTTTTCTTTCTCTGAAGCTCCAGACCAGTGCCCCAGTCGCCTGCGTAGATGATATATAGATATATATATAGTTATTTTGTATCTGGGTAAATTGTTAATAGTCACTATTCCATACTATTCCACTAGATGATATATAGATATATATATATATAGTTATTTTATATCTGGGTAAATTGTTAATAGTCACTATTCCATACTATTCCACTAGATGATATATAGATATATATAGTTATTTTATATCTGGGTAAATTGTTAATAGTCACTATTCCATACTATTCCACTGTGTTGATCACTATTAGTCGCTAGTAATCACTAACAATGGATAGTTAACAATTATAGTGATTAATATAGTGATTATGACTGATGGGATGATTTTTTAGGAATGATGATTAATGTTGGTAAATTTGATCACGACCGAACCCTGTTCTCCCGAACCCTGGAATCATGGCTTTTTATAAGGGAAATCATCGCATAGCTGGCCGCAGGATGCCATTATTCTGTCACTGGAGCAGATGAAGAAAGATTAGTGCTGGAAACGCGCTCTTGGTTTTCCGATTTTCCTCGAAAATAACGCTTCAGAATGATGGCCCCAAAGGTCGGAATCCAGCTGTGCCCTTTCCGGGTTTGGTGATGTTTGGCACCCTGAGTCCGTGACGTCGTGTGACCCGCCCCTTGCAGGCTCAAATTGATAGTGATCATGGCACAAGTGGAGCAGGGAAGTGGTGAACCAGCCCACCTGTTTTGAAATTCCAAGTGGTATACTCTCTCGATTTCTGAGATTCATGGAACGCTTGGTACAATTTCCAGGACAACTCCCTTTTGGAGTGGTACGATTTCTTATTTACGGCACCGCTCAAGAGTCAAACGTGGCTTCAGGATTCTTCAATGTAATTCTTCAACCAGATCTTGATACAAAAGAACCAACCAACCACTTTCAATCAGCAAACGATTTCGTTGACGGCATGTCCAAGGGCATGATCTGCGCAATGGTGCCCCAGGTGCCGATAGCTGGGCTCTGTTGCATGTGCCAATTCAGAATTGAGGAGTTTCTTGTAGCCTCCAGTAATCAAACGATATCAACCACCATGTACAGGTGTTTTTTCACATCAAAACCTCCATGTCGATTTTCATGGATTTTCCATTGCCACCTTTGATTACCAGAGGCTCTTGGAGTTTCGGACCAGCTTTATGCGAGTCTATCTGGAGGGTCTATTTGGAGGAAACAGGAAACATCAGGAGCCATGTAACAACACACCCAAAAAGGATCCCTTTGGCAATTAAACCCATGGCGAGCTAGAACATCCCAAGTCAAAATATGAAAAAATCATCGAAGTTCAACATCTCATCGAAGTAAATGGATCTAAATTGCTGATTTTCCAGCCAGGAAAAAAACCTGGAGAGTAGGTTTCACCAGTTTTAACATGTTTTAACCCTCAATTTTTGAACCTACCCACTTTTTCTATCTTGAGGCCAAGCTGCATCGGCGTAGTGCGGTTCCGCTCTTATCAGAGTGGGGGGGTCACAGTTGCTTTTCTCCTTCAAAGATCGACATAGATCGACCAGTTGATGGATGTTAAGGATGTTAAAATAGCTGATTCGCCTCCAGAATTCGACCACTTGGTGTTTGGTTCGTTGTTTTTTTAAATATTTTTTTCGGCGTGCAACAAACAAAAAAAATGTCCAGGACGGAACTGAAAAATGGGGTTTCCTAGTCGTAAGTCATGAAACATAACTGAAATTATCATCCAAATTGATCATTTATTGACTTGGAGTCAGTGATTATTCCGGGAATACATGATCATTCAGTTAAACATGGCATATGGTTTTCGGGGTTCCTCGGTGGGTGAGGTGCTGGCGTGCCTTGCTCTTGGCGTTTGGTATTATGCTGCAGTGATGTTTGCCACTTGGTTCTGCATCTGTCTGTGGTCTGGTGCGGTGGGGGCCAAGGAAGCAACGAAAATATGCACAGACATCACAATCATAATCCACATATACATCACACACAGACAGATACATTCACACAACATTTCTTTCATAGCTAATATATACATACATGAATGTCCACACACACTATATTATATTATATTATATTATATTATAATATTATATTATAAATTATAATATTATATTACACTTATTATATTATGTTATATTGTGTTGTGTTGTATTGTATTGTATGTTATTGTATTTGTATTGTATTATTATACGTATATATTTACATATTATTATTATATATATATAGATTGTTTTGTCTTATCTTATCTTATATTATCTTATTTTAAATCATGTTATCTTATCTTATATTATCTTATATTATATGATATTGATTTATGTTTTATTATCTTATATTATCTTATCTTATATTAAATTGTATTTATCTATTATATTATTATGTTATATGATCTTATATCATATCAACGCATGCATTTAGGTCCATGGAACCATGTATTGTTCAATCCATTTGAACACCATTGAATGATGTTGACCTTACAAGCATCAGCTCCAACTAGTTTTCCGCCCGCGCGTGCATTTTAAGCGCGGCGAAGTTCTTGGTGGCCCAGACCTCAGCCTCAATTCAATTATGTTGCAGCACGGGGTCATTGTCTCCTTTTCGTCCACTTCCATTGGATTCCTCTGCGTCACATGCAGCGCCAGGAGCGACTGATTGATGCTTGCGTCATGTGCAAGCCGAACCGAAGCCAAGGGGCCTGCCTCAGATTTTTGCACTTTGCGGTAGTGCAAGAAACCAGACATTGTCTTGAATCTACCTGCAAGATCTTAGAGTCTTACAGCCTCAGTGATTATTTTGCTTGCACACACAGCCACCACCAGCCGCATTCCAACCCTCCAAAGTGGCTACCGGGGAGCGGCGAATATTACGTGACCACTCTTGACCCTCAACATAGTATCATTTTGCCATTAAAACGCAGAGGCCCCTGAGATGGAACTGTTCTGGCCCTCGCTGGCACCACACAATTGCCTCCGCAGGCCTTCAAAAAGTGGTTAATCATAGACTCATTTTGCCTTTAAAACGCTGGCCGGAACGGACGCCCCCCAAGATGGAACTATTTTGGCCCAATCGCACAAGTGCCTCTGCAACCCTTCAAAAAGTGGTCAGTTTTGACCTTCAACGTAGACCCATTTTGCTTTGGAACGCTGGTCGGACCGGAGGCCTCCAAGATGAAGCTATCTTGGGCCCAAGTTGGCATCACAGAACTGCCTCTGCAACCCTTCAAAAAGTGGTCAGCTTTGACCCTCAACATAGACTCATTTTGCTTTAAAACGCTGGCCGGACCGGAGGCCTCCAAGATGAAGCTGTCTTGGGCCCAAGGTGGCATCACAGAACTGCCTCTGCAACCCTTCAAAAAGTGGTCAGTTTTGACCCTCAACATAGAGTCATTTTGCTTTAAAACGCTGGCCGGACAGGAGGCCTCCAAGATGAAGCTATCTTGGGCCCAAGTTGGCATCACAGAACTGCCTCTGCAACCCTTCAAAAAGTGGTCAGTTTCGACCCTCAACATAGATTCATTTTGCTTTAAAACGCTGGCCGGACCGGAGGCCTCCAAGATGAAGCTATCTTGGGCCCAAGTTGGCATCACAGAACTGCCTCTGCAACCCTTCAAAAAGTGGTCAGTTTCGACCCTCAACATAGACTTATTTTGCTTTGGAACGCTGGCCGGACCGGAGCCCTCCAAGATGAAGCTATCTTGGGCCCAAGTTGGCATCACAGAACTGCCTCTGCAACCCTTCAAAAAGTGGTCAGTTTTGAAGCAATAGATTCATTTTGCTTTGGAACGCTGGCCGGACCGGAGGCCTCCAAGATGAAGCTATCTTGGGCCCAAGTTGGCATCACAGAACTGCCTCTGCAACCCTTCAAAAAGTGGTCAGTTTCGACCCTCAACATAGACTTATTTTGCTTTGGAACGCTGGCCGGACCGGAGGCCTCCAAGATGAAGCTATCTTGGGCCCAAGTTGGCATCACAGAACTGCTTCTGCAACCCTTCAAAAAGTGGTCAGTTTTGACCCTCAACATAGACTCATTTTGTTTTAAAACGCTGGCCGGACCGGAGGCCTCCAAGATGAAGCTATCTTGGGCCCAAGTTGGTTTTAGGGAACGCCGCGAATTCATGTCATTTTGTTTTGCGCCGCGCCTGTCGATCCGAGACCTTTGATACGATGAAGCGGGCTGGTATCCAGAAGCCCCGCAAGGGCCCAATCCGAGTGAAGTTTCGAGAGGACCGGGTTGTTAGCCTAGTCGGCGGCCATATGCGCATAGAAACCATTCCCCTGAAAGATGTTTTCCGTTTGCGCTCTCCCGCCTCTGCAGGAAATCCGACCTGAATCACCCAATGCCCATAAGTCACACTTTAGAAAAGTTCCAACAGTTGCAACCCAAGCTTTTGCGGACAGCGCCTTGGTTGGATCCACTCAGGCACCATCGTGGCTTTGCCTTCACCCCCCTTCTCGCCACAAAGAGGTAGTTGGCCTAGGTGTAGTGGACATACTGGTCGACCGAGGCCATGTGCTCTGCCAAGCCTTTGATCACATCCCCACCGTCGTGCAGATAGCGGTGAACCGCCCCTGATGTCCACCTCCCCGTGCGCTTGACCACTTCCACCTGTCCTGTCGCCTGATACAGCGCAGATGCGCCTCCAATTCGAAGGCTATGTGATTGGAAACGCTCCGCCGGGAGCCCCACCGCCCGATCCGATCTCTGCCATGGAGGATGTTCTGCACCTCCAGCCGTTTGATCGCCTGCCTCGACGACCACCGGAACAGAGGCAAAATGGGCTTCTGGACCTCGACCAAAGCGACGCTCCGTCGCCTCCTTCATCTTCTCGAGGGCTGTCACCACGCATATCCCGGCCACACCAGTCCTTCTCATAGTCCGGCTTCATGGCGCAAAAGTGAGTGTGGTCAGTCATGAGGATGAAATGCATTTGATAGTGACGGCAGGGTGATCGAGATACCCGGATGCAGGTATCTCAGAGAACTCCCCCAAGCATTTCTTAGAGACTGAAATGGATGAACGGACCCCCCGGTACCAACGACATCACAACCCAAGGCATTTCATAGACCCCCAATCTGTGAGTTGTCGGATTCTACTGTGGTCCTTGCTTGGTCATTTTCCGGCAGCAAGGCAAGAAATATGAGATTATACTGTATGATATTATATTATACTATATTATGTTATATTATAATCTAGTATATCTTATTTTTTATTAATGTTGTTTGTTCTTTTTATTATATATTTAACCATTTTATATTCGTTGATATATTTATATATATATTATACTTTTTGTTATTTGCATTTACAAAACTATAACATATATTATATTTATATGTATTTATTATATGTCATTTTTTTAAATCAATATGTTATATATTTTAGATATATTTTTGAATATATATTTATATATATATAGTACTAACCCCAAATTCCAGAAAAACATAGACCACAAGTCGGTTGAACTTGCTTACGCGTGTATGACTTGAATTGAAGTGAGTTGAAACTGTTATAATGTATATACATTTCAATATATATATATATTTTTGATTCTATATGTATTATAGATTAAATTTTTATATATTATATTAAGCTTATCTTCAATTTGTTATATAAGTATTATATTATTTAATTTAGCTTATGTATGATATGTCACATGTTATATATTATTTTTTAGATTGTTGTTTTTAGTTACACATATATATATATATATTAAAATAGTTTTAAAAATACAATATACTATACTATAATATAATTTAATATAATATAATATAACACAATATAATATAATATTACATAATATAAAAACTATTATATTATAATATATATGTATATATTAGATTTTTTTAACAGACATAAAATTATTTTGTATGAATTGTGTCTAAAATGTATGTATGTAATTAATGTATGTATGTATGAAATGTATGAAATGTATGTATGTATGTATGTATGTATGAAATGTATGAAATGTATGTATGTATGTATGTATGCATGCATGCATGTATGTATGTATGTATGCATGTATGTATGTATGTAATGTATGTATGTAATGTATGTAATGTATGTAATGTATGTATGTATGTAATGTAATGCATGTATGCATGTATGCATGTATGCATGTATGTATGTATGTATGTAATGTATGCATGTATGCATGCATGCATGTATGCATGTATGCATGTATGCATGTATGCATGTATGCATGTATGCATGTATGAATGTATGCATGTATGCATGTATGCATGTATGTATGTATGTATGCATGTATGTAATTAATTAATGTATGTATGTATGGATGGATGGTTGCATGCATGCATGCATGCATGCATGTATGTATGCATGTATGTATGCATGTATGTATATATATATATATATATCCATGGAGGCTATGGCTTGGCCATCGCACACCTGAGTTATGGGATGTTTCTTGGAAAAACCAATTTGTTTCGCTTCCCATCAACACTTTGGATACCTGGTAGTAATAAATCAGATTTCAACATCTTTTCCCCCCAAGTATTTGGTGACTTCGCGTGTTTCGTTCCAAACAAGTTCCATGGGAAACATCGGCGACACCAACCGCGACGTCGGCCGAGACGACACCCTTTGCCCGGCGCTTGGATGAATATCTCAAGAGTGCGGAGATGGACAAGACGATGGAGAAGCCTCCGAAGGAGGGAACGGAGCACTTCACGGAGTGCTGGGAAGGGAACATAGTTCAATGACTATGGTCATTCATATGATATTATTATATATATGTATGTGTACATATATGGATTGATATGGATTTATAATATGGATTGGACTCATATGGATTAATACGGATCAATATGGATGAATATTTCATGGTTGATCCAATTTTTTTGGGGCAGTTGAGGGGATCTTACCATAGATGGGGCCAACGTGAAACCATGTGGGCAGTGTTCAAAACCCCTACTATCCAATACATTGCGGATTATCACAATCCATTTTGGGAAACTGTATGAACCAGCCAATATAAAGGGACGACAGAGGGTTATGAACACTGCTGATTTTTTCCAAGTCTTATCATCAAGATCTACTGAGTTTCTGGAAATGCACCGGCTATAGCTAGGATTTGCTCTTTGGCTGACCCTTGGATTTTTGTGACGGTGGTGTGTGACAGGAGAGCAAATCTAGCAAGAAGGCAGGTCTGGGAGGGAAACTGGCAGAGGTTTTGGAAGGTTTTTTTGTAATTGTTTATATGATATCACTGGGTTTTCTTGAACCATATTCTTTATATCGGAATATTCATACAGATTCGCGACCAAAAATACAATAAACCTTTGGTAGACCATAAACCCTTGTGTTTGGACATCCCATTTTTGCTTTGACACAACAATTTTTCATGCTGGAAAACATGACCAATTTTGTGTGTCCCTTGGTACAAGTTTGACAAAACATACCGATGTGCGTATGGGTCAAGGCTAATTTTGACCTAGACCCATGTCGCTTAGATGTGTCAGTACCCCCAATCTGATGGTTTAGGATGGTTCATGGACTGATTTTCCAATTATAACTAGTTGGTGGTTCGGAACATTTTTTTTCCATATATTGGGAATAATAATCCCAACTGACTTTCATATTTTTCAGAGGGGTAGGTCAACCACCAACCAGATACCCTCTGGTAAATAAACGTAGACCCTAAAAATCACAAATTTTTAATGAAAACTAGTCTTCCAACCCCGATGACTGCCAGGGTCTATGTTAATTTACCAGAGGGTAATATATATATATATATATTCTATTGACATAGACATTGATTCAAACTGATTTAATTGACCGTACGGGCTGGTATAGCTGTCTACCCTGCGGAGAATTTTCCATTTCCATCAATCCCTTCCCCTTTGTCATAATGCCAACATCATGGCACCATGGTTTTTCGTATTGGAGGGGGATATTTCATGTTATATTAGATTATATTATGATTATATCGATTAATTATACTGGTTTGTGAATCCCCTTTCAAGCTGCTTAAACCAGCTTAAACCAGCTTAAACCAGCTTAAACCTCCATTTTTCATGGGTGCAAACTGGGTGAAACGTCCATTTTCGTCAGGTGCCGCAGTGGTTGTCCGAACTCGACGATCTAGGCTTTGTGGACTCGGGAACCTACAGGCGGGCAATCGTTGGTGACGGGTTCAATGAAAAATGAGGGGTTTAGACGGTTCAGACATGAAAAAGACATGAAAAGTGGATAAACATCCCGGCGGATGGGAAACCGCGCGAGCGTTTTGATTATTTGCTTCCAGGAGAGTCACAATCACCTGTAATTTACAATATAAAATGCTCTTCCGAACTCTTTGGATAACTGAATTTTGGTTTAAAAAAGTGGATGCAAAATCTATTGATTTTTGACAAATCCAGGTAAACATCATGTGCATCAGACGTGGATGCTCAGATTTGTTTTAACACTCTTCGTCGGCTCAGAAAACCTATGCATCACTACCGCACCCAAACCCATACGCAGCGTAGCAACATGTAACGTAGGAAACTATCTCAGAGATACCAGCAGCATAGCAACATGTCACGTAGTAAGCGATCCCAGAGATCTTAGCAACATGGCAATATATCATGTACGAAGTACAAGGAACGTTAACATGCCCCCCCACCCCACCCCAACCCCAAGACAAAGAGCAATACTCAAAAAAGAAGCAAAACGCACGTACGGTTTTCCAGCCGTAGGCATAAACATGGAGGTCTAGGGTGGCAAAGGTGGTTGTATAGCTATAGTTTAAGCTGTTCTATGCTGTTCTGAGCTGGCAGAGGCTGTTGTTGAATGCTTTTGACATGAAAAATGGATACCCTCTACTACGAAGTATCTAGAAGGCCCGGGATAAATTTCAGACGGCTTTGGTGCCTTCGGAAAAGCTCTGACCAGCTGAACTTCTGCCAACCACGAATGCCAAAGATTGGATGAAGGGAGCCGTTACAAGAACATCCATATATGGAGGTTTCTAATCCATGAAACTACCCCCAAATCATCCATTTTAATCATTTTATTCGGATTTTCCATAAAGCGTCCAGCTATTGGAGATGCCCCATGGCTATGGCTTTAGCCCTCATCGATGTTCAAAGAAAGTAGAGTTTTCCCCCAGAGTTTCCCAGCCTTTTTGAACGCCAGTGAGTTCACAAGCCTTGCCAGAATTGTGCCAGGCAGTTCATAGACACGGCCATGGAAATGGGCAAGCTGGACGAGGCTGCAAGGGAATGCAAGCTACCATCGCAACGGGAAACGAGCTATCTTTTTTCATGGGAAAATAGTACATAAGATATCATAACATATGGTTCAAAATTGTTATATAATGGTTATATAATACATGTGGTTAGTGAATGTTAGTGTTATACACTCAACCATTATGAATCATTGATTAGACTGCGTGTATGATCAAAGGAAGTTTAGTTTGAACACTTCCAAGTTACTGACGAATGTCCAGGGGCAGTCTTTTCATCATGTTCATGTCTCATCATGTCAACCACATCATCATGTCAACTACCCATCATCAAGTAGTTGGGAAGTGTAACAGTTCGGAAGTGTGTGAATTCACGGGTGAAAACACTCTCGGGCGCGAAACCCTGTGTTTCTTCAGGTAAAGTGGCCTCTGTGGTCGCCGAAGTAGGGTCTCTGTTTCCGGGGTTGCGGGGCTCGATCTTAAAAAGTGCACAGAGAGCCCGATTTGCACCTCAAAATGTTAAATTGACGGCCTCAGAACACTTTGTGCACCAGACTGTAGCGAGAGCTCGATTTCACATAAAAATCGCAAACTGCGTGAATGTTGGTCGATTCAGCGGGGCTCTCCTGCTATGCGGGTTTGCAACCGACATAGCTATGGACAATTGCCCATGTATGGATGACAAACATTATGACTATATGATTTACCCATCAAAAGTTGCAGTAGCTACGTTAAATAACCAAAGGGCACCAAACCAGCCAACAGGTACAGTAGATGGTCATAAATGTTATGGCTATGAGTCAAAACCATCGGCACCCAAAAGGTACCCCAGCATAGCGGGGGTTTGTGGATGCTTACTCCCCAAAATATGGTAATTTCCTGTAGGAAACTTGAGCCATCCCCATCTACCAGACCAGTCTCTCCCAATCTCCAGGCGAAAACCTGGGCCGAAAAGGCGCGTGTGGAAGGCAAACCGCTGAGCGCGGAGGATCTGCAAAGCCTCATCAGCGAGGCGCGGTGTCCAGGTCCGACAGGTTGACCGGTTGACCGGTGAAAATTTGTTGTTTTTGAAAGGTGAAAACGGTGAAAACATGTGAAAACCATGGGAAGCACAGGGCATTTAGATACTTTCAATACCTTTCAATGATATGTTGTTTGGTCTAGCAAAGTCAAACTTGGTAATTTACTGATATGATGGAAACAATAATAGACTGTTAGCATCCAAGCTTCAAGATGCTGGTTGTAGACATCCGCACCTTTGACGAACACATTTTGGTCGCTAGGCCCTGACGAAAGACGATGCTGCAGCCGCCCAGCTATGGCTGGTGGGAAGCCTCGGTGGGACCTTTCCTCGGTTGCTCTCTTCTAGTTCCTGTCCGTTGATAGTGAACATAAGTGGATATTAATATGATGATAGTGGTGGTGAGGACGAGGATGAGGATGAGGATGAGGATGAGGATGGTGATGATGATGATGATGATGCTGATGCTGATGCTGATCATGATGATGCTGGTGGTGATCATGATGATGACGGCGATGGCTAGTCAACCAGCAGGGATGAGATAGCATACAATACAGGTATTTGAGTGGCCATCCGAAGTTTGTACTGAAAGATAGTGGTGGCAACACCCATTGAAGATATGGTCAATGCAATACCTGCGGTCCAAATCGGATGGGTTCAAAAGTTGTGGTCAATGCATGACTCATGAGCAATTCTGGTAGCAAACCCTCATTCGAGTAACCGTGGTCATTAGCCAGCTCGCCCCGTTTTCACGTATACATTAAGCATCAATTATATACAGTATATATATATATATTTTATTATATTTATATAAATATAATATTTATATATAAATATATATCATGCCAAATTCGTATGAATATCCCCCCTTAGAAGGTAAGAGTCCCCCCCAATTAAAAGACTACGGCTTGTCATACATTTAAAAAAACAACAACCAACCTGCCTGCCAACGGATCGAGATTTCTCTTTTCAGTGGCAACCTACGCCCCAATGGGATGAGATGGTGACATTGGGCAAGGGACATCCCTTGAAAACATTACTGTTTCAACCACCAAAAAACAATTAAAACCATTAAAACAAACATAGTTATGTATATATATATATATATATATGTATATATCTATCTCTCTCTCTCTCTCTCTCTCTCTCTCTCTCCTGACTACAACCAAATTTGGATTTCTGAGCAGGGTGATGTTTAATAAGGGGGTCGCAAATGTTTATTAACAATAACAAAGGACCAACCCAAAGTAACATTGCCAAACATTTTTTTGAATGTGGGTGTTGATCAACTCGGAGATGATTATTAATATGAATTTAACATATATTAACATTATATATGAGCTACAACCAAAATTTACCGTAATGGAAAGTAGTATTCGAGACATCTTTATTTTTTGGAAATTAAGCTGGGGTTTGGAAAACGATAATACACTCTTCAGAAAACGATAACATTTGCTATATTCCCAAAACCCGAAAAACGATAATACACTCTTCAAGTTCATTGATGACTTGGAACTATATATATATATACTAAATATTGACCGTGGCCCATATGTTCCTTGTTGCTTGAGGTTCAAGACGGCTCAATAAATCACTCACCATTCCCAGATCCGAGATCCAGCGACAAGCGGCGCGCGGCATCCTGCAGGAGCAGACGCTATTGAAGCAGGATTTATCGACCCGTGAAAAGCAGACGATTTGTTTTCTAGCTGCCTCTTGGTATATTGGGACGATATTGGGATGGATATTGGGATGGATTCTTTGGCTATGGTGGATGTTTGATCTTGGTGGATAAAAAATGGTTCATATGTGAAAGTGTGGATGAATACCCTCCATGACAGATTGGACTTTGGAGTTTTTTTCTCCAGTCAAACCCATATAGTCGGATCCGGATCAATATTCTGATATTCTTGTTGACACCGGGAAGCACAAACCTGAGGTGCATCGGATCCAATTATTTGGGTGCCTGATTCCTACCCAGATAGACATGTCATATCTCTACACTCTGGTAATTCGACATAGCTACGGAAAATGGTCCATGGTCCATTTATGATATTTAATTATTCATAGGGAACTGATGTGACAGCTTACATGTGACAGCCTTCCACTTGAGGTTTAGCCCCCAAGTCCTGGGATACCACCTTGAATGTAGTGAAATCTCCCATTTCCCACTCCCTGCTGCTAAATTTTTCTGGAGCTCCCCAATCCAATTTTGGGTACCCGACATGAGCTGTGTGGGCACATCCCATGACAATTTTGGGGCGCCCCATAAGTGGATAGGGGTCACATGCCCCAAACACTGTTATTTACGAGGTTTCAGGCATCTGACCCCTTTCCACTCCAAGACTTGAATTGCTCTTGTGGCCTCTTGTGGCGACCCTTGGTCTCAATTTCTGTGAGTTGCTCTCTTTAGGATAAGAGATTTGGGAAGACCATGGGAGCCCCAAAACATTAAAGGACCGGATAACCCCACAAGACAACTTCTTTGAATAAAAAGCACCAAATGTTGTAGCGGGGACGGGGAAGGAAGGAAAGACAAAGGAGGTGGTGGAGGACCGAGAAGTAAAACAAAGTTGTGTGTGACAAAGTTGTATGTGAAAGCTGGTGTGTGACTAAGAAAGATAGTGTGTGTGACAAAGTGGGGTGTGCAAGATGGTGTGTGCGAAAGTTGTGTGTGAAAGAGGGCGTGTGACAAAGTTGTGTGGGAAAGATGGTGTGGGACAAAGTGGTGTGTGAAAGATGGTTTGGCGAAAGATGGTGTGTGACAAAGTTGTGTTAAAGATGGTGTGGTGAAAGATGGTGTGCGACAAAGTTGTGTGTGAAAGATGGTGTGTGAAAGATGGTGTGTGACAATGTGATGTGTGAAAGATGGTGTATGAAAGGTGGGGTGTGACAAAGAGGTGTGTGAAAGATGGTGTGTGACAAAGTTGGTGTGTGAAAGATGGTGTGTGACAAAGTTGTGTGTGAAAGATGGCATGTGACAAAGTCGGTGTGTGAGAGATGGTGTGTGAAAGATGGTCTGTGACGGTGTGTGAGAGATGATCTGTCCCACGCCTGCCACGCAAAACGACGGTAGATGTGAGATTGTGCCACGCCTGCCACGTGAAACGAAGGTGGATGTGAGGTTGTGCCACGCCTGCCACGCAAAGTGGCGCGGCGCCCCGGCGCCAAATCCGGGCCCAAGCGCGCCACCCAGTACCATAAGTGGCACGCCTGCCACGCAAAACGACGGTAGATGTGAGATTGTGCCACGCCCGCCACGTGAAACGAAGGTGGATGTGAGGTTGTGCCACGCCTGCCACGCAAAGTGGCGCGGCGCCCCGGCGCCAAATCCGGGCCCAAGCGCGCCACCCAGTACCATAAGTGGCACGCCTGCCACGCAAAACGACGGTAGATGCGAGATTGTGCCACGCCTGCCACGTGAAACGAAGGTGGATGTCAGATTGTGCCACGCCTGCCACGCAAAGTGGCGCGGCGCCCCAGGCGCCAAATCCGGGCCCAAGCGCGCCACCCAGTACCATAAGTGGCACGCCTGCCACGCAAAACGACGGTAGATGTCAGTTTGTGCCACGCCTGCCACGTGAAACGAAGGTGGATGTCAGGTTGTGCCACGCCTGCCACGCAAAGTGGCGCGGCGCCCCGGGCGCCAAATCCGGGCCCAAGGGCGCCACCCAGTACCATAAGTGGCACGCCTGCCACGCAAAACGACGGTAGATGTCAGATTGTGCCACGCCTGCCACGTGAAACGAAGGTGGATGTCAGGTTGTGCCACGCCTGCCACGCAAAGTGGCGCGGCGCCCCAGGCGCCAAATCCGGGCCCAAGCGCGCCACCCAGTACCATAAGTGGCACGCCTGCCACGCAAAACGACGGCAGATGTCAGTTTGTGCCACGCCTGCCACGCAAAGTGGCGCAACGTGTGTGGTGACAAAGTGTGTGGTGACAAAGTGTGTGTTGACAAAGTGTTTGTTGTGTGTGTGGTGACAAAGTGTGTGGTGACAAAGTGTGTGTGGACAAAGTGTGTGGTGACAAAGTGTGTGTGGACAAAGTGTGTGGTGACAAAGTGTTTGTTGATAAAGTGTGTGTGGACAAAGTGCAAGTGTGTGTAGACAAAGTGTGTGTGGACAAAGTATGTGTTGATGTTGATAAAGTGTGTGTGGACAAAGTGTGTGTGGACAAAGTGTGTGGTGACAAAGTGTGTGTGGACAAAGTGTGTGGTGACAAAGTGTGTGTTGACAAAGTGTGTGGTGACAAAGTGTTTGTTGATAAAGTGTGTGTGGACAAAGTGTGTGGTGAGAATGTTGATAAAGTGTTTGTTGATAAAGTGTATGTTGATAAAGTGTTTGTTGATAAAGTGTGTGTTGGACAAAGTGTGTGTGGACAAAGTGTGTGTGGACAAAGTGTGTGTGGACAAAGTGTGTGGTGACAAAGTGTGTGGTGATAAAGTGTGTGTTGAGAAAGTGTTTGTTGAGAAAGTGTGTGGTGACAAAGTGTTGTGGTGACAAAGTGTGTGTTGACAAAGTGTATGGTGACAAAGTGTGGAGGAGGGCGGGAGGAGGAGGAGAAGGCGGAGGAGGAGCCCGGGATACAGAATCAAAAACAAGAACCCCACACAAAGATGTGGGGAAAAACTTCTTGTAAGCGTTCGCTGGAGACAGCTGCTGCTTCCTCCATTTGCCGCGCATCTTCGTTTGCGGCCACTTCAGTCGCCCGCAGCGGTCCGTTGAACGTCTTGCCATCCTTTTTGCGGCGGGCGCGCCAACCATTAGCAAGTTTTTGCACCGCCATGGCTTCCGAAACACATGCAAATCACTAATTGGAATCGTGGTCGTAATGGTCGTAACACTATCCTCTGCAATGTCTGCTTCGGCGGCCTCTTTCCACGTTGGGCTAAGGTCACCAAAACAGAATCACGCAGCTCCGGTCGTTTCTTTCCACGTTAGGCCAAAACGATCAGAGCAGCAAGAGATGATCCGATGACCACACCTTTGAATGCAAATGACAAATTTAACTTGACTGCTGAGTTGTCGTGGTGGTTACGTCGTAACTGACTAATTGTAGTTGTGTTGTAGTGGTATGCGTGCTAGAGCTGTTGTCTGCAACTTCTAGTTGGGCCAAAGCGACCAAAACAGAACTACAACAACGACAGGAGAAAAGTCTGCATGCAAGAAGCAGAATCTGTCGTGTCTGCTCTGCACAGCGTTGCTGAAGCGCAGTTGAGCCCTGCCTCTCGACCACGAGCAAGACCAGCACCTGGCCGCAAGTGTGTGTGTGTGTGGAATGCAGCAGGCCGACAGAAGAAAGTACTTAAACATGCCAAAATCAAACATGCACAAGCACGCAGCAGGCCAACTGAAGAAAGTGCTTAAAACAGAATCTGTCGTGTCTGCTCTGCACAGCGTTGCTGACGCGCAGTTGAGCCCTGCCTCTCGACCACGAGCAAGACCAGCACCTGGCCGCAAGTGTATGTGTATGTGTGTGTGTGGAATGCAGCAGGCCGACAGAAGAAAGTACTTAAACATGCCAAAATCAAACATGCCCAAGCACGCAGCAGGCCAACTGAAGAAAGTGCTTAAAACAGAATCTGTCGTGTCTGCTCTGCACAGCGTTGCTGAATGCAGCAGGCCGACAGAAGAAAGTATTAAACATGCCAAAATCAAACATGCCCAAGAACGCAGCAGGCCGACTGAAGAAAGTGCTTCAACATGCAAAAATCCAACATGCAGAAGCACGCGGAAAGAAGAAACATGCCGGAAGGACCGCATCTTTGCATGCAAATGACCAAATTTAAGAGCTGAAACATGCCGAAGCACGTAGCAGGCCGACAGAAGAAAGTGCTTAAACATGCCAAAATCAAACATGCCGAAGTACGCGGAAAGAAGAAACATGCCGGAAGGACCGCATCTTTGTATGCAAATGACCAATTTCACTTGACTGACTAGTTGTCGTTGTGGTTGAGTCGTATGTATGCTAGAGATGTTGTCCGTCAAAACTTCACTGACGACACTGACGACTTGTGTAATTGTGGTTCTAGTGGTGGTAAGACTATCCTCTGCAATGTCTGCTTCGGTTGCCTCTTTCCACGTTGGGCTAAGGTCACCAAAGCAAAATTATGCAGCCCTAGTCGTTCCTTTCCACTTGTGGGTGTGTGGAATGCAGCAGGCCGACAGAAGAAACTACTTAAACATGCCAAAATCAAACATGCCGAAGCACGTGGCAAGAAGAAACATGCCGGAAGGACCGCATCTTTGCATGCAAATGACGAAGCACCACCCAGTACCATAAGTGCCACGCCTGCCACGCAAAACGACGGTAGATGTGAGTTTGTGCCACGCCTGCCACGTGAAACGAAGGTGGATGTCAGGTTGTGCCACGCCTGCCACGCAAAGTGCCGCGGCGTCACAGGCGCCCAAGCCGGTCCAAGCGCGCCACCCAGTGCCATCTGTCGCACGCCTGCCACGCAAAACGACGGTGGATGTGACTTTGTGCCACGCCTGCCACGTGAAACGAAGGTGGATGTCAGGTTGTGCCACGCCTGCCACGCAAAGTGCCGCGGCGTCACAGGCGCCCAAGCCAGTCCAAGCGCGCCACGCAGTGCCATGAGTGCGACGCCTGCCACGTGAAACGAAGGTAGATGTGAGTTTGTGCCACGCCTGCCACGCGAAGTGCCGCGGCGTCACAGGCGCCCAAGCCAGTCCAAGCGCGCCACCCAATGCCATGAGTGCCACGCCTGCCACGTGAAACGAAGGTAGATGTGAGTTTGTGCCACGCCTGCCACGTGAAACGAAGGTGGATGTCAGGTTGTGCCACGCCTGCGTGTGTGTGCGTGTGTGTGCGTGTGTGTGTGTGCGTGTGTGTGTGTGTGTGGGTGTGTGTGCGGGCCCAAGGGCGCCACCCAGTACCATAAGTGCCACGCCTGCCACGCAAAACGACGGTGGATGTGAGTTTGTGCCACGCCTGCCACGTGAAACGAAGGGGGATGTCAGGTTGTGCCACGCCTGCCACGCAAAGTGCCGCGGCGTCACAGGCGCCAAATCCCGGCCCAAGGGCGCCACCCAGTACCATAAGTGCCACGCCTGCCACGCAAAACGACGGTGGATGTGACTTTGTGCCACGTCTGCCACGCAAAACGACGGTGGATGTGAGTTTGTGCCACGCCTGCCACGCAAAGTGCCGCGGCGTCACAGGCGCCCAAGCCGGCCCAAGCGCGCCACCCAGTGCCATCTGTCCCACGCCTGCCACGCAAAAGGACGGTGGATGTGAGTTTGTGCCACGCCTGCCACGTGAAACGAAGGTGGATGTCAGGTTGTGCCACGCCTGCCACGCAAAGTGCCGCGGCGTCACAGGCGCCCAATCCCGGCCCAAGGGCGCCACCCAGTACCATAAGTGCCACGCCTGCCACGCAAAACGACGGTGGATGTGAGTTTGTGCCACGCCTGCCACGTGAAACGAAGGTGGATGTCAGGTTGTGCCACGCCTGCCACGCAAAGTGCCGCGGCGTCACAGGCGCCAAATCCCGGCCCAAGCGCGCCACCCAGTACCATAAGTGCCATGCCTGCCACGCAAAAACGACGGTAGATGTGACTTTGTGCCACGCCTGCCACGTGAAACGAAGGTGGATGTCAGGTTGTGCCACGCCTGCCACGCAAAGTGCCGCGGCGTCACAGGCGCCAAATCCCGGCCCAAGGGCGCCACCCAGTACCATCTGTCCCACGCCTGCCACGCAAAACGACGGCAGATGTCAGTTTGTGCCACGCCTGCCACGTGAAACGAAGGTGGATGTGAGGTTGTGCCACGCCTGCCACGCAACGTGAAACGAAGGTGGATGTGAGGTTGTGTGTGTGTGTGAGTGTGTGTGTGTGTGTTAAGTTTGTGTATGTGAAGTTCTTGTATGTTATTAAGGAAGTTATTGTATGTTAAGTGTGTGTATGTGTTAAGTTTCTGTATGTCAAGTTGTGTTAAGTTTGTGTGTGTGTGTGAAGTTATGTGTGTATGTGTCAAGTTGTGTTAAGTTTGTGTGTGTGTGTGAAGTTATGTGTGTGTGTATGTGAAGTTATTGTATGTTATTAAGGAAGTTATTGTATGTTAAGTGTGTGTATGTGTTAAGTTTCTGTATGTCAAGTTGTGTTAAGTTTGTGTGTGTGTGTGTGTGAAGTTATGTGTGTATGTGTCAAGTTGTATTAAGTTTGTGTGTGTGTGTGAAGTTATGTGTGTGTGTGAAGTTATGTGTGTGTGTGTGTTATGTATGTTATGTTAAGTTTGTGTGTGTGAAGTTTGTGTGTAGTGTGTGTGGAGGAGGGTTAAGTTTGTGTGTGTGTGTGAAGTTATGTGTGTGTGTGTCAAGTTGTGTTAAGTTTGTGTGTGTGTGTGAAGTTATGTGTGTGTGTTATGTATGTTATGTTAAGTTTGTGTGTGTGAAGTTATTGTCTGTGAAGTTTGTGTATGTGAAGTTTGTGTGTAGTGAAGGAGGAGGGCGGGAGGAGGAGGAGGAGGAGAAGGAGGAGCCCGGGATACAGAATCAAAAACAAGAACCCCACACAAAGATGTGGGGAATAAACTTAAACAAAAATCCAGATTCATGTGATGGCAATGATCGATTTTCAAGGGATTTCACTGCAAAAACCAAGGCCCACAGAGGCTGAGAATGGTTAAGAGTTGTTTAGAGTGACTTAGAGTGATTTAGAGTGACTTAGAGTGATTGAGAGTGACTTAGAGTGATTTAGAGTGATTTAGAGAGATTTAGAGAGGGTATACATGTCAGGACACATATGCCAAATGGATAGGGGTCAGATCTCTTGGGTCACATCCGCCTCCTATGAATTATGGATACTTAAATTTACCTATGAAAAATGATGGTTTTCCATAGAAAACTGTGAAATTACCAGACCAGAAGGTATTTTGAAACTGCTATGTTTTTCATTGTTGTTCACTACGTGCGCAGATGGATTACCAATTTGAAGGCTGGTGTCTTCAGGTAATTGTATGGTGGTTTGTGAAAACAAATTTGTGCTCTTGTTGGCGCACCTGAAACAGCACTTTGGGCAGCTACCATACCACTGGATTGAAGCAGAAATCAGATCCACTTCTCTACGAACAACAGAGAGCAGTCCCGGCAAATCGCTTCAATCCTCGCGTTGGTGATCGGGGAGTTGTTCGCTCCTCCAATTCAATGTGAATTGACTTTGAGTCGATCTAGTTCATGGTGAATTCTCCATATTTTTTTCCAAGCTGGTTTTTGGAGAATCCCAACCCAAGTCATGTATAAATCGATTCAAAAACAGGCAGCTGCTGTTGGGCAGCAGCCGAGGTTTTCCTGATTGCGCGGAAGATGGGCTTTCAAGTCTTGCACGATATCCTTGAGACACACGGGGAACAGCCGAACCACTGGATTCGCAACAAGGCGGGCCGGCGGAGTACCAGGCTACCACAGATGTCCCAAATTCCCATTGGTTGGTTGATAAAAAAGAGGGGTTTGAAGAAACCCCTGAAAAACAACAGGTTTCTATGATGATAGATGGTATACCAAACCGGGCCATTTATTTTTTACCAAAAGGACATTATTGGTACCAATTGAGCTATTAGAAATACCCTTTGGTAATCAGTGCCACGGCAATTGAAGATCCACTCTGTTGATGGTGTTTTCATTGGGCAAATCATCTATAAACTTTTGATTTTCCATTGCCGTGTTTGATTACCAGAGGATACCTCGCCTCGATGGCTTAACTAGTTGGAGGATATATTAACTCGCTCAACTGGCTTACAGTATTTTTCGGATGAACTTACCCAGCGCAATATTTACGAAGCAACCATGATTTTTCCTGGGAAAACAAAGTACATTTCTCTTTGGGCTAGTAAATTCTCCAGCTTGTAGAGTGTTGGGAGCAACCCTCATGTGGTGGTTGCAGATGTTGATCTGTTAAGATATTGGATCGCTGTTGGCAATATGGAGCTTTCTATGGTGATACCTGGTGATACCCTGCTGGGAAATACATCAAGGAACATCCATGGTTTGCCATTGTTTTTCCATCACCCTAGGGTAAACTAACGTAGATCTAGAAAAGCAATTGGTTTCTCTTTGGAACATGATCTACTTTCATGGTGGGTTTTCCATATCTTTTTGTATGTTTGCAGGAGTTTTTTCCTCCATAATTAACTCCTGCATATATGGTTTACAGGGAATAATTCCATGGAACGCATACTCTAATTCCCTGACTTCCCGGTACGGTATGTTTCATTCATCCATAAACCATATGTTTGTTTCCATAATTAACAAAAAACAAGTCACTAGGTTTTGCATCCATCAACCATTTTTTCCATAATCAAACCAGAATGAAGTATATGAACTAGGTTTTGCATCATCAAAGCATAACTAATATCAAAATATATCAAACAGTTCGCTTAATCAACCATTTTCCCCATAATTATATATAAATATATAATGTATATTATGTATAATATAATACATATATACATATATAATATAGGATATATATATATATGTATATATATATATACAATATGATATATATATACACGTATATATAATATAATCTTATATCATATGTGATATATATATATATATATAATCACACCATCACTCATCAACTCCATCCGAGTCTCGCTGGTTGCTGGAGATTCTCCGGGCCACACGCTCGGGCGGCCTGGAACGCCTAGGAGCGGGGGTCCTGGCACTCGATGTTCGAATGGGATCGTAAGGGGATTTAGAATGGGATATCATGGTTGAACATAATAAGACATATACATTATGACTATTTATATACCATATTACATTAACCATTATAATCATTAGATCCATCGACGATAATGTCGATATAGTTTATATTCTAAGCTTTTTTGAGATCTTCAAATTTTTTTTGACAAAAAGGATGTGGCCTGCACGATCCTTTTTCGAGGCTTCGAAAAAATGCCTTCACCCGTGGAATGAAATTTTCGGATTCCCAAGTTTGGGAGCAGGGCAGTCTGCACGATTTCCCAGCTGGGCGCAAACCATGGTTAAGTCAGGTCGATTGTATATCCATATTGGGGGTTGACCATCAATGTATGAATACATAGGAACACATAGGGTTCCCATTATGGGGTGGATGACCATGAATCACATTTTTCTTTGTAAGTGGGTGATATTCCCATTTTCAACCCAACACGCATCTATTATCATATTATATATATGTAATATATATATATATATACACATTACATATGTATATGTACATTATATATACACACATATATAACCCACTCTATATTGTTGGTGAACTACGTTATATCTATATCTATATATCCCGTAGTAGGTTGGTGATATCCCATGATATAAATATATATAGATCTATATATCTCATTGATCTATATATCCCAGTATCATATATAATGTGGTTGACACAATGTCATAAACAACCCATGACTGGGAACGGTAAACATCCCAGCTATTTATTTTTCCTAAAATTGGGGATGGTAAACTGGCATTGTTTTTCCCACATACTGTAGCCATCATATAGCTATATTATACCTAATTATAGCATTACATGACCATTATATAGCTATATAGCCATTATATAGCTATATATAGCTATCATATAGCTATATTATACCTATAGCATGGTAACTTAGGGAATCAAACCCCTAGGATCATGCCAGGAGAGCGCTTGGACGACGCCTTGCAGGTGGGTGTCTGGCTCTTAGCACTGTGGCTGCCAGTAGTACTGTAGTTGCAATAGGAGGTTCATCCCACTTAGTAGGTTACAACTCTGGTTGTAAATTGGATAAGTCGGGTTTATCCACTTACAATTTGGGGTTATAAACTACTTAGTAAGTGAGATGATCCACCAAGTATGGATATACAGATGCATAGGCAGTCAAGTATGGCTATGTAGGTATATGGATGTGCTGCATATTATATGGTATCTATGTATATGTGTATGCAAATGTATTTGTATATGTGAATCTGCATGTGAATATGTATATGTTTATTAACATGTATATATGTTTATGCATATGGCATTGAATGTATATGTACGTGTGTGTGGTTGTGTATATGTAAATGCATATGCATGTGTATGTGTTTGTGCATGTGTCTGTGTCTGTGTATGCATGTGCATGTGCCTGTGCCTGTGCATGTGCATGTGTGTATGGATATGCATGTGTATGTGCATGTGTATATGAATATGTATTGCTATATGCGTATGTGTATGTGTATACATTTGTACATGTGAATGTGTATAAATGTAGCTGTACATGTTTGCGTACATGTATGTGTATATGTTTTTATATGTATTTCTATATGCATATGTGTATGTGTGAAAATTATGTCCATATATATACATACATATATATATATATTATACATATGTATATGTACGTGTATGTGAATATGTATGTATTATTTACATCCATATTTGCATGTCGACATGCAGCGATGCAACCGAGGTTGAGGCTGACCACAGCGTCTTCCGTTACCTCCTCTACGAGGCTCTGAAGGCGATGATTTCTACCGAAGGGAGCTGACCACAGCGTTCGAGGTATAAGAATCTTCATGTGGGTATGGGTCAATACCTATAGATACATTTTTAGTGGGATGAACATCCATTTACCAGCTATTTTGGGGTTCACTAGGTACCAGGGTTTTGACCCATCCCCATGTATTTTGCTGGGAAATATGGAGAAATATGAGAAAAGTATAGGAAAATATGGATAAATATGGTATATTTCTGAAAAATCAGGCAGCATGAAGAGCAGTTTGAGGTCTGACCGAAAACAACTTATCTTGAAAACGGCACCCGGAACAAATTTGACTTTGTATGTTTCTTTTGGGTTCCGTTCAAGCAACTTGCTCAACAAAGTGGAGGGGTTCCACCTTGTGTTTGGAAAAAATCAGGATTCCACGGCCAGAAGTGGCAATCTGGTTATTTAACAGTTCGCCATGGAAAATCACCATTTTTAAGTTCGGTAAACCATCTATTTCTATGGGCCATCGTAATAACCATGGCGAACTGTTAGTCATAACCAGGTTGGGTATAATCAGTGGATGTTTATCCGTCGAAACACATGCAGACGGATGATCAAGAATGGTCCCATAATGTCCCATAGCGGTGTTGACCTGGTATTACCATCTTACCATCTATGTATGGTTTCAGATCCAACCAACATATTTTTGGTTGAGTATCTATTTTTGTTTATTCGAAACGTTTCTTTTTACTATTTCTGGTTAGCACTAGGAGAGATCCAGGGATTTCGCTATCTGCAATGGGGAAATAGCCGAAATAGCCATGATATGATTAGTGCCTCCTGTTGTTAGTCATCCCATTTGGTAGCATGGCAATATCTGACAACCATGGTTCATTTCACGGTCAGTCTCCAGTTGGTTTTGTGCAATGTGTTACCTCTCCAAAATGCATCAAAATGCATGGTATACACAAATTTGCATAAATCAAAACGGTCTCCCTGCGACCTCACTAGAAATCCTGGGGACGGCCTGACCTCAATCTTCCAGTCACATCTAATCGGACTACTTTCTTCTGGGTCAAACACGGTCAAATACCTTTAGGTTGAGATACTATAGGTATGTTTAATCCCTCCCAAGCATTAAACACCCCCTAAATCCCAAGTATGTCCAGATCCCCTACTTTTTTTTTAACCATGGTTTCAATATCGGAAAGGGACAGCCTTGCCCCAATCATGGCATCGGTCAATGATGCCAGTTCAGTTGGTGAAAAAGTATGACCTGGGCCGCCCTGGGCCGCCTGGGCCGCCCTGGCCCCCTATTGGGTTCCCTGCAGCGTTCTGCAAAACAAAGCCATTGATCTGGGTATCACGACCTCACTGCGACCTAAACCTGGAATCATGGTTGGTGACTTATTATGATTTACCCAGATCGATTATATCTAGTCTCAGAAAAAAGATGCAGCAATGTCTTCGAACAAAAATAACCGATCCAATTGCCAATTCCACTGGTTTATCATCATATACATGCCCCACTGCCCCATATTACAAAAATAGAAGCGATCAGCATAGTATCTAAAAATCATTTAACTTAACCCACATTAAAGTATCATAGACATGATCAACATATCTAGTCAAATCATCTAACCATATCTAACCCATCAATCACCATTTTCAACACATGTTCTCTTCGTTTTTTCACCCGGCCTTCAAACAAAAACCCCAAGCAACGGACCAACGACAGGGGCCGCTCTGCCTATGCCCCGCCCTGCCTCCTATGTTTTAGGTGCCTGACCTGGCCTACGTGACCAAATGGTTCGATAAGGCCGTCCTCCATGGTGTGGTGCCTGAGACGCCTATTGCCGCTCGGCCTGGGGGTACTCTAAATACATAGCTGGCAAAAAGTTCATGGAAAATCGGAACAATGGATGATGGTGTATTTCATGAATGATATTTTCGGACCCCCTTTTTTGTGGAAATATGTTGTTGTTTATAATGGTACTTGGGGATTGCATATAATTAACTGGTACCATTTGCGTTTATCAACATTACTTAATATCTTTCCCAATATCTTTGTGAAGCGTGCACCAGGGTTTTAGAACCATTTAAGATAACATCATTGTTTGTACCATGACATATGGTACTTGGAAATATGGGGTTATATATATATATATATATCTATATTAATACGTTTATATCCACCCATAATCATGATAGGTTGTTTATAGGCTTATGGATACATTGTAGGTTGTTTATAATGTCATGTGGTAAACCCAATGCCATCAACCTACCATTTGAGGGGTTTATTTATATCCAGTTATGGTGATGACTTGGGGCTTGTTTATGGCATTGGGTTTACCACATTATATACTGGAGTGAATGATGTGAGTTGCTGGGATGAATATCTGATACCTACAATCACACACACATATATAATCTCACACACACACATATATATACTCATACTTATACTTATACTTATACTTATACTTATACTTATACATACATACACACATACAGACATACGTACATACGTACATACGTACATACATACATGCATACATGCATACATCCATACATCCATACATCCATACATCCATACATCCATCCATCCATCCATCCATACATACATACATACAGACAGACAGACAGACAGAGAGACAGACCGAGAGACAGAGAGACAGAGAGACAGAGAGACAGAGAGACAGAGAGACAGAGAGACAGAGAGACAGAGAGACAGAGAGACAGAGAGACAGAGAGACAGAGAGACGGAGAGACAGAGAGACGGAGAGACGGAGAGACGGAGAGAGACAGACAGAGAGACAGAGAGACAGACAGACAGACAGACAGACAGAGAGA